TTTACAATAGATGATTGTTTTTCTGATGAGTGGAAACGAACAAAAATCCTTTCCCAACGTCTTCATAAAAACTTGCACAGACATGCATACCAAATATGTCACTGTAGTATCACTGCATGTAATATTAATATTGCAGAAGTACTTCAAACTTAAGTTATTTTATAAGAGAAAGAGGGGAGGCAGAAAAATATGGATTTAGTGCATATCCTATTGCATTGCAATATTTTCTAATGGTGTGTAGCATTAATATTCTGAACCACGAAGAAAAAAAATACTTTCTAAATTGGAACTCCCCATGTGAACTAATTCAATGTTTATACATATATGTCGAAATAACATTTGTGTATTGAGGTCAAGTCAAGCGTCCAAACGTCAACCTTTCAGTCCAAATATGGAAACGTTCAGTTTCAAAACAGCGATGGTTTCCATGCTTGACAGCGTTTACTTCCTATTACATACCTGCCTTTTAATGGCCCCTGGTTTCACTGTCCACATGCATCTTTAGGGGTATTCCCAGATTAGGTAACACATGAAAACATTAATCGCATTTCCTGGCTTCTATTAAAAGCGTTTCTTAGGAACACTACTGGAAGCTTGCCAGTAATGTTCCAGTAGTGTTATTCTCAACAGGAAAACAGCTAATCATTAAAGCATCCGAGGTATGGTTACCTAGGTGACTGCCACAGCGTTCCCTCCTGGCTCATATGTTATTCATCTTTCAACCTAAATATGTACTTTTCTTGATTATTTTAATTATTGTTATTATTATTAAATAAAAAAATAAATACAAATATTATAAACTGGCAGTGAACTCTCACATCAAATGTCTGCTTGAAGCTACAGCACGAAACAAACAAAAAAACCAGAAGATTTTACATATGCATTAAAACTTTCCCTATGTCCTAACATGAGATAGATAATCAGTGAAAAAAAAAAAAAAATCAATCTCCTCTGCCTCCTCCTGTGTTCTGCAGAATTACTCCGCTCGGTCACAAACAACCAATCAGAACCATGCTCTCAGGAAGGTTTAATTTAGCAACTCAGGATTGTTTATTTTGATACAACCTGCATTTAACTTTGAATGAATGTGTCCTCTTTTTCTTTACATTATTTAATATAGACAGTGTTGTGAGATTCATTTGACAAATGCATAATTTAGGCTGTTTAGAGCCTCACTCTTAAATATTGTTTTACTGATTGCAGATTTTTTCATTCGTCCTTTTGATCGAATAGCTGCTGTATTGAGCCTGCAAGTATTTGGCATGTTTTATGTCTAAATTAGGTGAATTTATTGCCAGATCTTTTTTTTATATTATTTTGCCAGATCACAAAGCAGCATTTATACCTAATGCAAAAAATTAACAGCCAATCCAGGTGACCGGCACTGATTGGTGATCGGCAATAATCAGCCCTCATGGGAGATCAGGATCGGCAGCAAAAAACCTGATCGGAGCTTCCCTAAGACAGACCAGTAGATCAGACTTTTATTAAAGATCGGTGACCGGCCGAAAAAACCGCGATCAGTGCGCCTCTATGGCAAAGCTACAAAGAAATGGTTTAGATCAGAACATATTCATTTGCTAGAATAGGCCAGTCAAAGTCCAGACATAAATTCAACTTGATCTGCAGAGACTTGAAAATTTGTGCTGACTAAAATTCTCTTTTGAATCTAACCGAGCTATAGCTATTCTACAAAGAATAAGTGAAATCGGTTAAAAGTATTGACTCAGAGAACTGAATACAATTGCAATGTGACAATTTGCAGATTTTATTTGTGCAAACCATTGAAAACTATCCTCATAAAATCCCATTCAAATTGAGCATCTAACATGAGAACAGCAACTGTGGAGCGACAGATTGGAGTCTGACTGGTAAAAATGTGAATTTTGTGCTTCATTAAATTGGATCAAAGCAGGAAAACATTGGTTTGACCAACCTTGATGGCCGGGTAGGTCTTAGTGGTGTCGTTGCTTTTCTCTCCAGGAATACTGCCGGCAGAGCGACCCTCACATTTATAACGGAACCTCATCCCCCTCTGCTTCGGCTGCTCGATAATCTCTATGTAAGGGTTCGCTGGTTGGACTGGTGGGGGCGGGGGGAGGGGGGGGGTCACATCAAGATAATCAACAATCAGTGTACAAACAAGGCAAAAACGGTTGCAAGTTTAAAAAAATAAAATAAAAACAGTTTCATACCTGGGTTAATAGAGGTCATGCCCCATCCGTACACACCTGGGGGTGACAGAGAGACAGGGTTAGGTAAACTCCCAAGAGGAGTAACTGTTAATCATCTACATTAAGTGACGCACGACACAACCCGCTGCACAAATGACTAAAACACATTAAAAAACAAGCAGGATTCAGCGCATATTTGAGGTTTTAGTATGGGTTTGTCATTTGCTGTGCCGTCCGAGTGGAAATCTACCAGACGGCACAGCGACCAGGAGAGGTCAGGAGGCCGCCGAGATACACGGGCTTCCCAGCTAAATATAATTACTGCTCGTAAACCGCACGCCACAGATCCAGAGGCGCTGGAGTGAGGAAAAGTGCAAACAAGGGGGTGAAGTGCCGGCGTCTCGCATTACCAGATTTGTTGCTAGAGAGAAAAAAAAAAGCTGGCTCAACTCCGGTTTTTGAGAGGAAGGTGCGACGAGATCAGGTGGCCAAAAAGCTCCACCCTGAATTCATTTCAGAACCATGAGTGGGATGCTTTCCAAGCTGGAACATGCCTGCTTTCTAGGGCTTACACTAAATCACTGTAAGGTGGAGAAAATGTATGTGTATTTTTTAATATAACGCTTATAGCTTTATTGCCCTCCTTAAAAATAGACCAACTCAATGCATCCTATTGGAGCTGTACTATTTTTTTTAATGAATGTAAAATTAAAATTCAGGTCAATAAAATTATGGGACTACAACTGTTATTTTTTTTTATCAAAGTGACATAATTTATGTTAGTTTCAGCTTCGTATGAAAGTGAAAGTAAATGCCTATGAGTGTGTGACCATATTGTCACACACTCATAAGTCATTCAGTGCACTAATATCATAACTGCTGAATGTTTTGGGGGCAACTGGATGTCACTTTCACTTTAAGTGACCCAACATAGACGTCACTATAAAATTATTATTATTGTAGCGGTCTCGAATGTCTTATTAAAATTCAAGCCGAATATTGTCAGTTTCAATTTACGATTGAAATGGGGAGACAATAATAAATAAAACTGTTTAATGGCCGCTCCATTGCTGCTGCATACATTTTTATATATATTTTTGCCTTTCCTAAAAAAAGAAGAAAACAAAGAAAATGAAAAGAGAAATCAGCTGGGCGGCAAGATGAAGTTATACAAAATAAAGAGATTTTTTAAAAAAATTTTAATAAACAAGCGTAGTATATAAAATGCAGCCCGAATGTAAGGTGAAGAGTGAAATATATCAGATAAGTGTATTTGAGTATGATTCATAACTTGCATTTCTTCAGAAGGATGGAGAAACATTAAACTGTAGGATTTCTGAATGGAGTATGGCAGTCAATCCTTGAGGACCGACCCAGAAGGCCTCCTGGCAGAGCGACAGGTTCGAGGCCAGGTGAAGTAGCCACTAACAGGCTAAATAGTTAAAACATGATCGTTTGAAATTTATATGTCATACCCTTTAGGAAATTAATTACAAATTCTAAACTTTAGGTTAGACTTTAGCTTACTATTCGAGAGCAACCTCCTCCTGTTAGCGCAAACCCAGCGACAGCGGGGCTTTCCCTCTTCGCAAAACAACTACCCGTACAGTTTCACCTCCTGCCAAGTAGCAGAGCAAATAAAAGCAGCTCAACTTACCGTCCATGGCTGTGTCCGTTTCCGCCTCACACTCCTCTTATCACACCGCTTTTGCTCACACCACCTGTCCTCTGTCGTTTATGTTGTATTTCTTAGCAAAAAAAGACGATGCAACAACGACAATGTGAAGTCGAAAAACTTCTTGACAGTGCAGTACTGGCCTCCTTCGCCCCACCTACATAGTAAAGCGCCGGGGCAAGTGCTCACTCGCTTTCCGGTAAAAGTAGCCCAGAAATACAGCGTGTACTTCAGAGAACAAAGAGCGCCAGCTTCTTGTTTGATTTTTGCGCAATGTCCCACTGTCAAAGTCAGTAGTTGGGACTGAAATAGTTCCGGATGTTTTGAGTAATTCATCTGACGCATTTCTCAAATAGACAAAATGTGCCCATTTCAGAGCTGGTCAAACTTTTTATATGAGGCCCTGGGCAGAATTGTACTTAAACTCACCAGACACCACTGACCTTCCTTTACGCATTGTCTAAGCTTGACCTTCTTTTTTAAATATATAAGACCTGTGTTTAAACTTATAATTACATTGTTCACTTGAATTAATGAACAACATTAAAGGTAAATAGATTACTTTATAATTTTATTTTTAATTTGTTTCACAAAACATTCCTAAACTCACATGGTGGCACAGGATGAAAATCAGACAGCATATTCTTTGATTAAATGTATTTTTTTTCTCCATGTCTGTAATAAAATTAAGGAATATGGGGTGTGGGCTGCGACGTGTAGGCATTTGACTATTCTGATTGAAACAAACACATATTTTGGTTTTGATGAGATGTAAATCTTGTCTTAACGAGATATGAAGCAGGTCGTAATAGGATAAAAAATTAGTTTTATAACTTAAAACTAATTTTTAAGATATAATATTTATTTCCCAGTTTTGTAATCTTTCTGTGAAATAAAACAAAAAAGTTTAAAGAGAGGAAAACTGATAAACTACTTCCTTAATCTGAATCTGAACCAGAAATTATGAAATTAGGGTTAGACTCTTCTTTGTATTTCACAATTCAAATGGCGGGTTTGTCTTGGAGCCCATGGTCTATCAAGGCAGAATTTAGTGACTATTCACTAACAAACTAACTCAAAAAATTTTTTTTATTTTGCTCTATAGGGCAAACTGCCTCTAGTTTCAAGACAAGAGTCTTGAAATGCAAAGAAGTACAAATAAATACCAAATCTGAATTAGAGAATTATTATATTTCACTTACACTTAATACATGTTTAGATTATTTTTTTTCTATCTGCAAATTTGAATCAAAGTGAGTCACGAATATTGCTGTACTTTATGTTCCCAATGTCTAGTAAAACCACAAAGACAGGAAGATGGTAGTGAGGTGTGAGGTATCAGCAAACAAGACATAGGCTAACTAAACACCTCACTTCTCATACATAGACCTTCAAACCTCAGATTTGAAGTTATCTTAATCAAAAAAGAGCTACGTTCTAACTTTGCTTCAGAGTTCCTAATTTGAAATTCTGTTAAATTTAAAACTTTGATTTAAGATTTCAACTGATAAATGTTACAGTCATAAGTAAAGGCATGTAGCTTATTCATTTTTGCCTCTTGTGGTCTGGTGTCACATTTCATGCACTCTGTGATTGCAAATACATCAAAAATACAAATAAATATGTTTTGTGTGCTTGCTTGTGAGCTCAATCTTCCTAACTACCTGGCTCCCCCATACCAGAATAATAGGGGAGCCATAGTCAGAATTGAAAAGCCGAACAAGTAGGCAAATAAGTAAAGCAAAGAAAAAGATTCTTCACAAATATCTGAAGATAACAGTGTCCAGGAAAACGTTACCTGGGACTATTATTTTGAAAATAGAATTCGTGGGTTTCCGGCACCGATTCCTGTGTAACTTGACAGCTGCTGCTCTTTGATTTTCCTTCTTAGTGCAACTCACCACCGCCCACTCAAACAGTGCGGAAATACCCAAATGACGCACTTTAAAGGAACAGAAAAATAAGTTGTGAGTGGGCGAGGCAATAACAAGAGTGGGAGAAAAAAAACCTGTATCCTTTTCCATCTCCGCTAGAAGCGTGCACTCATGTTTTTTATCCTCACTAAAAGTAGAACATCAACCGAGATTTGTCCGCCTTTAACGAGTCAAAGCTCTTTGAGCAACATGGCTTTTTATTTCACTGACAAAAACGTCTCCCGAAACTTTAAAAACTGTGCTCCGACCACGAGTATGTAGTATTAGTAGCAATGTTTTTAGCTACTGATGCAAATTTTCTTTCTTTTTAAAAAAAACAATGAATAGGGGGAATTCTGCCATCTCTATGGCCCCAAAAACATATGTGCATCACTCTGACCAGCAGAGGGTGCTGTAAGCCAAGAAAACAATTTTTCAAAAAGTCCATCATCCCAACTTGTGACTAGCGTAACAAAACATCTGAAGTTCTATTTCGACAAGTTGATGTGCAACATTAAGATTACAAAACTCCAAAACAAAACAAGAAAAGAAAAAAAGTGCCTAAATTCACAAAATCCGTTGACATCAGTTAAAAAAATCTAACGTAGCATCCATCCATCCATCCATCCATCCATCCATCTTCTTTACACCCTTGTCCCTTAGTGGGGTCGGGAGGATTTCTAACGTAACATCTGGCTCAAATCAAAGTTTTGCAAACCACGTTAAAATGTTGCAAAAATAAAATTTTATCAGTAGAAAAACATTGTCAGACACGTTAGTGCACACTTTTACGACTCACAGAGTTCTTTATTGTAATGGACAACCAAAACTATCGCTCCATTCAAGCTAATTCAAAAGGCAGCTCCAAGAATGCTGACTACCGCAAGACAGCTTACATCTATTGATTTTAAGGTTGTTTAAATTAATTGATGATCAGTGTTTGGTCTAGCTATCAGATTTATTTTGGTCAGTTATTTTTATCACCCCAGATTCCTCTGGTTCTGCAGGAAGAGTCTTCTGTTGGTACCTCTGTGAGAGCCTAAACTCATGGTATGACCTTCACCTGAGAAAAAGACTTCCTGAAGACCTGAGGAGAGCTGAGAGCCTCATATATTCAATTTGACTATTATTACATATTTATGATTTTCTTTTTAAATTCCAGTTATTATAGATTTTAGCAAGCAAACTGTTTAATTACACTTTTGTCTTGTTTAAAAGTTTTTATGACAAATATTTAGATATTTTATTGTGTTTACTACTTGTGCTTTCAGATTTGTAGAACTGTACTGTGTTTATAATTGTGTTTATAATAAACTGTACATTTGAATTTCCTCAGCTCCTCATCATTGAAAGTAGCTTGATGTGTTTATCTTTTCTTTTCCCTTTTTGTGTGTTTATTTTTATTTGTTTTGTTTTTACAAATTTTGATCATTGTGTTTTCTTATGTCGGACCATCTGGTTTTTACTCAACTTCTGTGTAGTTCTTTTGTACTGTTTTGTTATTAAGTATGTTGTTAATTGTAAAAAAATAAATGCATGCTCAGTCCATTTCTTTGTATTGAATCTGAAGTTTTGACAATCGTATGCTTTCGTAATACTTAACGTATTTAAAGTTCAAGCTTAAATGTTGTAATAAACGCCAGAAAACTTTGAAACATATTAGGCAAAAGAACTGGGGAAAAAAGACAAAACAGTCCGAATATATCAGTAAAGAAAACCTCAATAGGTGTGTAGGACACTAGTTCAATCTTGGACAGAAAGGCGAGTCTTGTTCTTAAACTACATTTCCCATAAACCATTGACTACGTATGGTAGATTTGGGTTGCATTCCGAAGAGCTTGTCATATTTTATCAGAAGAAATAAAACTCTTTTGAGGCAAACGCATAAATTGTCTGTTCTTTCGCTGGAATATAAAAATTTCCGAGGGTCATTTAATGCAACAGCAGGACATTAATGGGAGGAGTTGGCGGGCAGTTGCTGTGCGTTGAGGCGGTGCCCTGCCCTCGCTGCTTGTACGCCAGACTGCGGCGGGCATAGAGAGCTTTGCGTTACAGAAATGGCGGAGGGGGAGTTGGACGTTGACTCGTTGATTTCCAGGCTTCTAGAGGGTGAGTTCTCCATACTGTCTATTCGTTGTGGCTTGTTGACTATTTTTCCTAAACTCTGTAGCACTCTGGGTTTATTTTTGACCCGGGAACATTAACGAACTCGCTTGACTCATTGGCTAGCTTACGTTCGGGAGTACAACACTGGTCTTTCTGTCCGAGAACACAGGCACACCTCTTAGCCAGCTACTATTACACGTCTCACGGCTCCTTTAGACTAAATTAGTATAAAATTGTTTGTTTCTTAGAACACCGTGGTGCTTTCAGCCTGGAAATGTTGACTCTCCCTTGTTTTAGCCGTTGCTTTGGAGTGCTTGTGCTCTGGTTCAGTATGGAGAGTAACGTCAGACTCTCCTTACCAGCAATTAATTTCTACTAGTTTTCATGTCGCAGTATTAAGGTTATTACTTCGGCTTGTTGCAGATCAGTCACTAAATAACCATTAATCTAATGTCATCCAGTGTGTATTACAACCCATACTCATCTATATGTATTAATTAGCCCAGTAAGAAGTACTCGATTGTATGCAACAGCTTCATTTGCCAACAACAAACTTGGATATTCATGCAAAGTAAATGGCAATCTTGAACTTTACTAATTGTGGCTCGAAAAGTTGGACGTAATGGAAAGATACCAGATAAGGTGTAGCATTGTTTAGTTATTAACCCATAATTATTCCTAAAAAGAAAAGTTTTTCTATTGAGGTTTGGTGGGGCGGCTGAAAACGTCACAGTGTTGTGTTAATGTGTGAACATTGCTAAATGACACTGTGTACATGAGAATTGATCATCTTCCACTTTTAGATAAACCTACAGGAAGCATGGCCTCAAGTAGGGGTGAGAGTTATGGAACTGAGGTTTAGTCACGATTACTTTTTGTTTTTCTGTGGTTTTGTTTTGTGTTTTTTAGGTAACTTTATATCTACGACAGCACTAATAGCCCCTACAAACAGAAATGCAGCTATTGAAAATGGACAAAAACATACCCATTTTTAAAAAGGCATCTTCAGGACACCCGTCTTGAACTACTGAACTCGTAAAGAGGTGTTATTTATTTATAAGTATGTATTTTATTTTATTTTATCACTAAACTGGACACAGTAATTGCACTTAGTCATTTTTTTTTCACTTTGTTGATGTTCTCATGATACAAACGGTAGACAAAATGAAAATGGTAGAAATAAAAATCCCCACAATAAAGGCAGTTTTATGGTTTTCAGACATTGTTCATTTAAATTTATCTTCAAAATTCTTAACATGATTTTTTTCTTTCTTTCTAGGATAAATACAATTAATGCTCAGCAGTAGCCTCTAAACATTTACAGACTTGGAAGAGGGAAAAAAAACAAAAAACTAAAAGTGGACCCATCAGGGATTACGTGGTCTATTATTTATCATTTTTTGTGTTAGCTGATTATGATTATTGTAAATCCTCAAAAGCAGATTACATAGCTTGTCTTTCTATTCAGTACAGTAAGATCATTCAGGTTGTGGAGCAGAAGTATTTTTAAAAATATAACATCAGATTCAACATTAGATCCCTTTTTTCCTCTTTTTGCATTTTCAAAATAAAGTGCAACAAATAAAATGCATATTTTTTTCTTCTACAAGAACCATTCAGAAAGTATAGCAGTTTTTCAAAAAATAAAGTCTTGCCTTACTACCCAACATTTTGGATTTTGAATTAATTTCTCGTAATCATTTCCAGCCTTAGGAAGCGTTTTTTGCTATAGCCATTTAATTATCTGTATTAGGACCAGAGGAGTTACTATGGTTACAAAGCTCTGAAATTAAATAGGATTTCACCATCGTTTTAAACAACAATAGTTACAGTGGTGACATTTTAAATGACCATTGTTAGCGTAGTTAGCTTTACTAGAGCACCTTTATGGAGATCTCCAAATAGCCACCAATGTTCTCAATACAGCGCCACAAATCGGGCTTCCCGATTGGTTAATTTGTTCCTTTGAATGTAATACATTCTGCCCCGTTATCTATTGGAGTTAAGCATCTCCTTAGAAGGCTTCCTCTGTCATTTCAAACATCTCCCTGATGATAAAAATAGTTACTAATCAGCCATTTTTTAAAAATTATTATTATTATTTATTCTTGACCATGATACTAGACTAATTATGAGTTTTGGATCAGCTGTTCTTTTGTGAGTAAATTTCAACCAGCAGTACTGGTGATGTTATCATTTGTTCTGGGTATTTTCTTTCCCTGAGAGGGTGTGTGTGTGTGTGTGTGTGTGTGGGGTGGAGTAGATCTGTGTCTAAAGATGCACATGAGTCACATGATGCGTCTCCACCTCTATGTTCCTGTCTTACTCAGATTTTAAAGGGGCAGTATTTTGTGTTTTCCAGGCACATAGTGCCATTTCATAGCAGTCAAGTAAATGTCAACTTCAGTTGCTGCAAAAATGCTGTAGATATAAAATGCGACTTAAAAGAAATTTGACTTTGTAATTTAGTGCCTTGAAATTGGGCCTCTGTCTCTTTAAGAAACTCCCACTATTTCTGAAAGGCCACCTTCAGGAAGTCATCACAACTTGGCTCCTTTATTAACCCTTTAACAACAATTTGACCAGCATTGCACTGAGAAGTAGCTCATATAATGAGCTCAACAGTTCCACCAGGTGTTTGCTAATTGCTATTGGCTAGTCCAGAGGAACTAAGTGAGGGAGTCGTGGAGGAGGGCTGCTCTGTGAAGCAGAAGGTCTGAGAGTGCAGCTCAGAGGAGGAGCTTTGTCCTCGAAGGCGGGGCTAGGTCCATCCAGGCGTTTTGCACCTCTGAGTGGTTGCCATAGAGATTAAAGGATTTCTCAAACATGCATGAAAGAATCAAGGGAACACTCCAGGTACGTTTTTGTTGAAGAGATAACATGATGTGAAAAAGACTTATTTTTACTTGATGCTGCCGCTTTAAATATCGGCACTGGCCATCGTTCTTGCTTCTGTTGCCAATGTTGTTGGTTTGGCATGGTAATTGTAGATGTACTTTCGAAGAAAAGGCCACTGTTGTTCCTGCAGCTTTTGTTATGTGTTGCATGGCAGTGGAGGTTGACTTCCCCAGATAAATACAGGATCCTGACCCAGGTGAGCTGATCGGCCAGGAACACGGACGGCCTCTCTGTATGCAGTAAACACTCGAGCTGGTGATGAGCCAGTGGCGATGATTGATTTTTGTCTTCAAAATAATGTGGCTGGATGGATGCAAGCACATTGTTAGCATGTGCAAATCATCAGGATGTGGATTTGCATGAAATTTTACCAACAACTGTTGATAAAGAGTAATTACAGGTTGTTTGCTCGGTATGTGAGCAGTTCATGACGACACTGCCTCCAGGTTAGATTTCATGCTTGTCTGCTTTGTGATGCAACATATGGGAAAAGTGAAGGAAAACAATTCCAGATCAGGACTCTGGGTTCATTTACATCACCCCCGTTTCGCCTGCTTTGCTCCAACTCCAGTTTGTTTGTGGAGTTGTGAATGCGCAATCGAACTCTGATGTGGACCAAAAAAGCGAACTGCGGTCAGCTTACAAACCTAGGTGTGGGTGTGCTTGAAGTGAACTCTCATGCGCTTGGAATGCATACGTGAACGCCAAACGGACCGGGAACCGTTCCAAAAGCAGGATGCGAACCGTAGTGCATGACATTCTGGGTAAATGCAACCAAAAGAAACGAGCAACTCTAGTGGTAGCAGGAGAAATGACTCTTACCTACAGCATTCCGTGAAGAAGGAAGCTGCACTCGGTGTCTTTGGAGATTTTTGTCGTTTCCTTCAGTGGTTCTTGGTGTTGCTCCCCCTCAGGTGAGGAGGTGAACAGGTTTTTCAAAACATTTGATTTGTCTGACACAGTGCAGTGTGACAGCAAACCACATGAGCGGAAAATGTAACCAATGTTGCAATTTTGATCCCCAGTAGAACATAGTTTGGACTGAACTATCAGGTATGAAAATGTTTTTTGACTCTTCATAATCCATGCTCATGGTCATTTTCTGGTTTTGGACCATCAACTCGTTACTGTAGTAAGAGTTGGGAAGAAAAACAGTCTGACAAGTATGAACAGATTGAGCAAAATGACATGTACTCGATGAGCAAGGAGGTAGGAGGAACTTTCCAGTCACACCTGAGAAGACACGTGAATCTAGAACCCAGTGTGACTGCAGATATAAATTTGACAGCTCCCACAGAAGGAGCTACATCATTCAAACACGCATATGAAATCATAGTTATGTCACTGCAGGTGTGTATTTTTATTCTGTAGACAGAGGAAAGGCCACTGTGTACTTGCTATTGTTAAGGGTGTGACAGGTTGACGGGTTCAATTTGATTTGAGCAACCTAATGGAATTAAACTTGTTTCTCTGTCGGATTGAATCATCAGAAGAAGCGCAAGTCCTGCAAGCGGAGCCTCCAAGGTGCTCTGAAGCTTGAACACAGAGTCTGAACCAAAGTCCTCCAAACATACAGTGGAATTAGTTCAGTATCTGGTTCCTGTTAGCTGGCTCTGAGCTGTACATCACTGGGGAAGAATAGAACAAAACTCGAGGCAAATTTGGTGAAAGTCCAGTACTGATCAGTACTATTTTTAAATTGCACTATATACAGTGGACCCCAGCATTAAACAGAGTGTCACAATAAAGTACTCTGTGATTTAACTCCATTCTAAAGTTGTCATCTAGGAGGAAAGAATGTCCTGTCCCTTTCTGTTCTTGCTCTGAAACCAGCGTTACTCTTTTTCAAAGACAATTGAAAAAGACTGAAATAATTTTTAATGGACTTCTAATCTAAGCCTATTGTCTTAACTGAAATTTAGTTCTTGTAGGAAAAAAAATGTTAAAAGGTGTCAGTTCAGTAGAGGTGTTACAATGCCAACACAACTGAGATTGGCTGGTTATTTAACAGATTTTTTGACGCATCAAGTTGCAAACGTGGAGAATCCTGATGCGTTTCACAAAAATCAACCGATATGTCTCATTTTTAGGAACATTGAGTTGAG